CGGTCCCCGCTGCGCGCGCCCTCCCCCTGTTCAGGGCCAACTGGCCCAGGGACGTGCTCCCCACAAAGAAGTCGGGGTTTGGGGCGGCTGCTCTGCGGCTGGGAACAAGCTCCCCCGGACTCCAAACCTCGCCCCCTTCAAACGGGTTTCAGGGAGGGTCTGGGGGCCACGGAGGGAGCTCCAGGAGGGTTTCCCGGCGGCACCTCACGGCGGGTTTCCGAAGAGACGGGGGACGATCCCCGCTGACGGGGTTTCAGGGGGCCCAGGGGCAGAGCACTGAAAACACACTGAGCCCAGCCCTGGCTGAAGGGTCCCGGGTTCGAGTCTTGCCAAAGGGCATGTACCTGGGTTGCAGGTTCGCTCCCGGCCCTGGTTGGGGAGCTTGCAGGAGGCAACCAATGGCTGTTTCCCTCCCTCTCTCTCTAAATATCAATAGAGAAACCATCCTCCCGTGAGGATTGACCGAAAATCAAAACAAAGCTGAAAAATTGCCCCCGTTTTATTTCCAGTCCCGACCCTGTCACAGGGAGGGTCTCCACGGGGTCCCTTCGCCTCCGGCCGGGCCCGGCCCAGGCCCCGCCGCCCCCCCCGCCCCTCACCTCCTGCTGGGGGCCACCGGGACCCGCCAGCCCTTGACCTGGCTCAGCTCCGTGTCCGAGACCTCGATCTGCAGCGGGAGCCGGGGCGCCCACACGGTCACCTCCAGCTGGGCGCTGAAGTGCTGGTGAGTGAAGCTCACGGTTGTGTCCAGCCGGCCCTTCATCTCCTTGCCGTTCACGAACACGGAGTCGCAGCGGTTGGAGACCTTGGGGGGCGGGGACCCCGAGGGGCGTCAGCGGGAAAAGCAGAGCGGAGCCCACAGTGAAAGCCGGGGACGGGGGGGGGTCCCGCTTCCCAGCCGCCCGGACAAGCGGAATCGGGGGACTTGAACTAAAGGGACCCTGGGCACCAATTCGTGACAAACGCCGATAAAGGGGCCCCGGGAAGACCAGCCCCCGTTAGGAAATGCCGACGGGTGAAACCACCAGCGCCGCCGGACGACGTTACGTGGCCTTTGTTGCCGCTTTTTGCGCGCGTGGTTTTCCCCTTAACTTTTTTAGGTACTCGACCCGCCACTAACCTACCCCGGTGGGACCAATGTCATGCGTCCCCCTACCTGACGGGGCACAGGAGGCAGCCACACACGTTACCAAAAAAAGAAAAACAGACTGTACTTCAGTCCTGGCCGGTGTGGTCAGAGGGTCGGCTGGTGGACTGAAGGGTCCCGGGTTCGATTCCGGCCAAGGGCACGCGCCTGGGTTCCAGGCTCGACCCCCACCCTGGTCCAGGTGGCGTGGGAGGCAGCCCATCGGTGTGTCTGTCTCACGTCGATGTCTCTCTCCCCCCCCTTCCACTCTCTCCAAAAAGCAATGGAAAAAATACCCTCGGGTGAGAATTGAAAAAACACACACAAAACACACACTTCACTGAAGCCGTAGAGAGGATCCTTTCTGAACAAACAACAGAGCCCTGCACGCGATTAAAACCCTGGTAGGAAAATACTTGCAAAATGCACTAAAACGTGGCTCCCGTCCTATATTTTATTTTATTTTTTTTAATTCTATGTCATTTATGTCCTAGCAACAAAACCAACGTTCTCGGGCCCGTGGGCCTGAGCCCGGCCCCTCCTGTCCCAGCCTCGGTCGCTGTGCCGGCCCTGGGCCTGGAGCTGCGGGTAAATCTCTACAGCGGGCGCCTCCGCCCTGGGTCACTAGCACCTCGTTTGACGGAGGCGGACACTGGGCTCAGGGAGGCGAAGAGGCGGGTCGAAGGTCCAACGGCGAGGACGGCGGAGTCGGGAGGAGCCGAGGTCGCCTGAGAGCCAAGCCAGGCCAAGCCTCCCACATTTTTAAAAAACATATGTGTATTTTTAATTGATTTCAGAGAGAGAAAGGGAGAGGAAGAGACGGAAACATCCAGGATGAGAGTCCTGATCGGCTGCCCCCTGCGCGCCCGGTGCTGGGATCGAGCCCGCAACCCGGGCATGCGCCCTGACCGGGAATTCGACCTGGATCCTAGGTCTTGCTCAACGGCCGAGCCACGCCGGCCGGGCCCCTCTTCTCTCCTCCTATCGCCCTGGATCGGTTCTCACTCGACTCCTACCCTTGGAATCTAAAAAAGCAGGAACCTGCCCCGTCTCCCTCTCGAGGGCCCTTCAAAGGCTTGAAAAGAGCGGCCGGGCCCCCTTCCCCCCCCGGGCCTGCTCTTCTCGCCATCAGGCCCGACACTCGCACCTTCAATCATTTCTCCTGTGATTTCATTTCAAGGGCCCTCAGCCCCGGATGCGCGGTGACAGGACACAGTCCAATTCCCCGCGGGCCTCTCATGCCCAGGCGGACGCGGGGCTCTCAGCCCGAGTGGCGCGGGGAGGCCCACCGCGCGCGTTTCTATAGAGAGCGGGACACAGGGGATGGCGCGCGTTCCCCTGAAACCCGGCATCGGGCGGCCAGCGGCGCGCGTGTGACCAGAGCTGACAAGTGTCCTCCAGCCCGTGGGGGGGGGACGAGAGCTGACCGAGGGCAGGGGCCCAGGCACAGGGGCCCCCAGTCAGCTCCAGGGGAGGGACCACACAGACCAGGGGGCTGTCCCTGGGGTGCCGGTGAACGTGCCCCATGTTGAGAATTGCCTGGGATCCGAACAGGCCCCCACGAAGAACACGAAAAAAAAACAGCCACGGGCCTGCTCCTGGCTGATTCAGGGCCATCGGTCCAGCTCGTTCGAACGGGGAGCCCAGCAGAAACGTCCCATCGGGATTCGCAACCTGCGAGCTGCGCTCACCCTGGTCACACCCAAGGCAGGTGGCACAGGGAGGAGCTTTTGTCTAATTTAAGTCATTCATTTTCATCTATATTAACAACAGGCTCGGGCAGCAAGCTCAGGGACTGCGCTCTCACAATGAGGTAAATCGGTACTTAAGTTTGAAACATGGAGGCATTTGAAGAAAACGTAGTGAGTAAGTGATATTATCTGGCACAGCAACAACTGAGAAGATGGTGTGGGAGTGGCTAAAATGAGGGAAATATTGTCCTGTGAGCAGACGCAGGGGAAGAAAATGATTTCTGGTCAAGATGAAGGCCGCAGGTCCCCCACTCCGGGGGAGGGAGGCAATGCACCTGCCGGCCGCCTCCCGACCGCACCCGGTCACCCGGCTCCAGCCCACGGAGCCTGGGAAGCTGCTCGGTCAGAGCCAGGCCCTGGGACAGGAGAGGCCCAAAGGCCCGAACCCCAAAGGCCCGAGCCCCTGGGAGGTGCGGGGACAGTCATGCAGTACCTTGATGGCGTCCTCGTCGGCAGACCTGCACTCCACGGCCTCGGACACGTCCACCACGGAGCCGTCCTCCTGCACGGCCACCACCTTGACGGGAACGGAGACGGCCTTCCCGGTGAGGACGGCCGTGTTCAGGATCTCCGTGTCCTGCGCGGGGGACAAGGGGCGCGTGTCAGCAGGCGGGACCCCCGGCGAGCGCGGGAGGGGACGGGGCGCGAGCCACCTCCTTCCCACCGGGGGCTTCCTCCTGCAACTTGGAGCGACAGCCTGTGTGTCCTACAGGCTCGTCTCACACACGGCGCGAGAGTCCTTCCCAATAGTTGTCACCCAGACCTCCGAGCGTCCCCCAGATGTCCCTCCCGGCCCAGGTTCTGCGAAGCCTGGTATCGTGTTAGTTTCCCTCTCGCCCTGATGACAACCCGGAGTCCCGCAGGTTCCAGCTGCACCACTTATCTCCCACCTGTCATCCTGCCACCACCTCGTCGGCAGACGGCTACAAGTGTCTGGGTTGGAAACTGGCTCGACCCTGTTCCCGTATCACATGGATCCGCGGTTCCGGGAAACCCGAGCCCAGAGAAACAACCCAGCGCGGGTTCAGGTGCCGCTCACTTGGTAGCTGCCGTCTCCGGTCGAGCGACGCGGCGAGCTCAGGGCTACTTCTCTGCAGGGACCCGGTGACCAGGGTCCACCGGGGCCGGAGTCTCTCCCTCATTTGCATCCCCGGGGAAAGGGGCCACGTGACATTTTCACGGGAGGGTCTCGGGTTCGAATTCTGGTCAAGGGCATGTACCTGGGTTGCAGGTTCGATCCCCGGCCCCAGTCGGGGTGCTTGTGGGGGGCAGCCAATCGCTGTGTCTCTCACACATCGATGTTTCTCTCTCTCTCCCCCCTCACTCTCTCTAAAAGTCAATGGAGAAATATCCTCAGGTGAAGATTCACAGCACAGAGAAGGTTAAGTAAAACATGAGCGTCGCAGCATTAAAAACGAGATGCAGAGAAGGGAGCCCCGAGGTGGATGCGCCCACACGGGTCTCCAGGCCGGGACCGAAAGGCTGCCTCCGTTTTCCTCTTATCTGTGTCTGTGTTGAGCTGATGTTCTGCACCGAGAACAAATGTTTGGAAAGATGAGATCGTTTGCCTGAGTCGATTTCCCATCACTGGCCCGGCGGGAGAGGAGGGCCGCGCATGGAGGGATGGAAGCTTGGTTTCCGTGCCCGCCCAACCCCTCGGCTGCCTGCAGGATGGTCCCCGAGCTGCAGGGCAGGCAGGGGTGCTGGCTGAGGGAGGCGACACCTTTCCAAGCTGCCAGGCGCCAGGTGCCAGGCGCCAGGTGGCAGGTGGCAGGTGCTGTGCGGAGCGCTGGGCGGGGCTGCAGGAGGGAGCCTCCCTTTCTCACACGTGGGGAAATCGGGGATCCCAGGTGAATAAAGGGCCTGATGCGGTTTGATGAGCTGGAAGAGGTTTGATGAGCTGGGAGAGGACCCGCCAGGGGCCGGTGTCCAGGGAGCCTTCTGGGGGAGGGGAGCACAGGGCAAGTGTGGCCACAAGCTGGTCTGTGAGCGCCACCTAGTGGGAGCCCCGGGGACAGTGTCCGGTGAGTCCCTGTTCAAGAAAAGGGACTTTTGAGCCCAAAAGGCCAGGTGGGCCGTTTGCAAAACCAGAGCTGGTCAGAGGACGGTGGGCTGTGCTCTGCACTGGGCCCTGCAAAGGGAGATGTGTCGTGACCCTTCCTTGCATGTCCCTGGAGGGGCTGGGGTGCAGCTGGGGTGCATGGGGCCAGGACAGGGGCCAACAGTGAGTCACACGCTTCCCTTGTTCTGACTGGTCAGTGAACACCCCCTCTCCCCGGTCCAGAATATTCTGAATTTCACCGCTGCTCCAAGGTGTCTCCCTCTTGAAGCGCACTGAGTACCGGCGAGAAGGAGCCTCTAACATTCATCACACATGTATCATGTGACCAGCACTGAGCGTGTGGTGTCCTCTCATCCTCCAAGGACCCTGACAAGGTTATTCCAGTAGGAACTACGTCGCCCATTTTACAGACCGGACAACCGAGGCTCAAAAGCCGACCTCGTGGAGATCACAAGGCTGAAGAGCATGCAGGTCAGTGGGAACTGAGGCGGCCTGACTTTCCTTAAGCTCCCAGGCCCTGCATCTGCCCAGCTGTGCAGAGGGGCTGTCCCTTTACTGAGCAGGACAGAGGTGGCAAAGTCACTGCACTGGCAAGGACATTGGTTGTCATTTCCAAGCAGGAGTCTCCACTCGGGGGAGGCACCTGGGAGTCTCAGGCCCACAGACCCTCGTGCGCACCCACGACCCAGTGCACCCTGTGCAGGATCGCAGGAGAGACTTCTGTTTCAACAAGAAAATTGTTCCTCAGAATACGGGCTCCTGAGGATGTCACCACGTTAAGGGCGTGTAAAACAGGAGCATAAAGCCTTCCCACAATCGCTCTTCATCTTGTCATTCGGGGCGCATCACCCCAGAAAGCAGAACGATTCCTGAGCAGGAGCCTCGGACAGACGGGCCACACGGTGATGTTCTCACGGATGGGTCATAAATATTAACGGTATCGACAGAGCCTTCAAAATGCATCCTGTCACAATCCTGCCACCACAGAGACACCGGAATCCCGTCACTGTCCCTGCCTGACAGCCATCAGCGTCCCCCCTGAACGTGCGAGGCTGGGTCCCGTCTTCCCTTCCACCTTCAGAAATTCTGTATCAGCCACGGTTTTCCCGAGTAGACGCAGGTCAGCTGCACCGAACATCTTAATAGGCTTTTCCTTCTCTTTTCCCACTCAGCTGGCTTCAGCTCCCTCTCCAAGAGCAATCCTTTTTATACGGTTACTTTTTAAATGTAAGCTGGGAAATGACCTGACATCCAAGTCCAGCCCGGGGGCCACGGTGGTGACGGGTCTGGCGACTATACCGCTCCGCGTGGGTGGTCGGCCGCCTCCCGCCCGTTAGAAGTTTTCCTCCACCCAGCCACTCACAAAGGGCACAGCTTTCATCTCGTCCGACAAACACAGCTCTTTCTGGTCACTTGTGAAGTGTGCCCGCTGGACACACATTCTCGACAATTTCAAATTGCTCCTTTCAGCGGTGAGTGGCTGGATCAATCAGGGGCAACCGTGTGTGCGTGTCACCAAGGAAACAGAACACGGTGCTCTTTCTAATACATAAGAACCTAAAAGACAGAGCTGCCCGAGGGTTATTCTGGACACGCGCTGCCAGGTGCTGTCCCCCAACAGGTAATTGTACCGACAAACGTGTCTGAATGGAAGGAGAGGACCGGGGGGCCTTCTGGACGGACTTGCCAAGTCAGATTTCACCTACAGAACCTTCCAGAGACCTGGCACCTCTGTCCTGGCAGCATCTGGTCAGCGCTACTGAGCATGAGTGTTTTGTAGCTGAGTTGACTGAACAGCTAATGGCCCTGCAGAGCTGTATCCACAAGGTCAGTCTCCCTGGAGATGTTGAGGGGGACGGGCTACGCTGCCCCAAACACCGCCCAGGTCTAAGTAGGCAAGTGCCTGTCACATGCGGAGCCAACTCCTGCTTCTGGCACCTGTCCTGGGTTAAATAGTGCCGCCCCTGCCCAAATTCACATCCACCAGAACCTCCAAATGGGACCTTATTTGGAAATAGCGTCTCTGTTCATGGAATTAGTTAAGCTGAGGTCATACTGGGTGAGACGAGGGTGGGTTCTAAGTCCAATGGCTGGTGTCCTCATAAAGAGAGGACACAGAGGCAGGCACTCCAGGTCCAGCTGGTGAGTTCCCAACAAGATTCTTTTAAAATCGGCATTTTCAAGTTTGCCTATCCTCAAGCTACCTGGGAAGCCTCAGGGCAAAGCTGATTGACCTGGGGTTCATCACTCAGCACAGAGGCTCTGTTCCTTGAAGCCATTTCCAAGGCACTCTTCACAGTGATCCAAGAATTACATTGTGATACATGACCCCACTCGACTAATCCAAGAGTTACATTGTAACACACGACCCCATCAACCAAACCAAGAGTTACATTGTAACACACGACCCCATCAACCAATCCGAGTTACATTGTAACACACGACCCCATCAACCAATCCGAGTTACATTGTAACACACGACCCCATCAACCAATCCGAGTTACATTGTAACACACGACCCCATCAACCAATCCGAGTTACATTGTAACACACGACCCCATCAACCAATCCGAGTTACATTGTAACACATGACTCAACTCGACCATCCAACCCCAGCACTTTAACCAGCCAATGGGTATTAAAGCCAAATGCGAGAAACTGCGACTGCTAGAAGGCCAGCCAGCCGGGGAGTATAGTCAGACGCATGCAGTAGGTACAACACAAATAACCGCCTCCCGGAGAAGCCTCTGTCCCCACCACGTACCCCAATGTCTCTCAATGAAACTGTAATCGGATATGGACACATGTTAAGACAATAAGAACAGGACCTCCCCGGGAGCCAGCTCAGCCAGATCTGCAAAGAAAAGGGGACTTACACAGCAGACCCTAAACGGTTTCCAAGGGGGCACATGGAAAGCAGCCATCCAACACAATTCAAGTTTTTTCCTTGTTTAAACACCACATATCCGGTGCCTGGGAAGTCACAGGTTATAAAATGCTGCCTGTCTGTGGGATATTAAAAGCACTCAGAGAAAACTCCTCAGGGGCACTTTTCCCGAAGCGGGACTTGCTCACCATGGCGAGGGGGACGATGCCCACGAAGCTGCTCTGGCTCACGAAGATCTCGGAGACCACGAGCTCGCTCGCGGAGTCCTCTGCTGGGTACTCCGCCTGCCACGTGATCGGCTGCGCCCCGGCCAGGCCGCTGCTGTTGTCCACTCCAAAGTCCACTTGCAGAATCTCAGAGAGGGAGCCGTTCACTCTGGAAAACAGACCCGCGTTAAAGGGTCACTTAGAACCCGAGACTCAGCGCAGTAAATTGTGCCCTGGCCAGTTTGGCTCATTGCTTGGAGAATGAAGGGTCGCGGGTTCTATTCCCGGTCAAGGGCACATACCTGGGTTGCAGGTTTGATCCCTGGTCCTGACTGGGGCGCATACAGGAGGCAACCAAAGGATGTTTCTATCTCACATCGATGATTCTCTCTCCCCCACACCCCCACTCCTCCCTCCCTCCCTTCCACTCTCTAAAAAAATAAAATAAAACCCCACCGATTGACATGAGAAATAACACCACTGGCTACCCTGGGCTCCGGGCTGGGATCTCCTTAGCTCTCCTGCCCACCGGACATTTGATGTCTGAGCCAAAGGGAAGGGACAGCTTTGGTCACTCTCCTCCCAGAGGTGGAATGACAGGGAAGTGAGGACAGGACTGGCCATGGGCCCCATCTGACCACGGGACCCAGCGAGGACAATCGCCCCGCACGCCCTGCAGGGAAGAGGGAGCCGCCTGGATGACAGGGCACAGGGACACCCAGGCTGAGGATGGTCACACAGCTGTGAAGGGGGCCTCCAGGGGTCCCCAACAGTCCAGCTCCAGAGCCAACATCAGAGAGGCAGAAAGTCACACTCATTTGTGCCTGCACCTTTGTCGGAAGAGGGCTGTGTCCCCAGCTCTGTGTGGGGTCCAGTGACATGGATGATGGGACAGTGGAGAGAGACATACAGCCAACTCGAGTCACATTTCAAAGCGTCTGCTCCTGACTCTCTCCTGCTGTGGGGTGCAGGGAAGGAAGGGCCTCATTAAAGGGGGATCCCGCCACTGCCTTGGGCTGCTGGGCTCCTCCCAGTGAGAGCAGCTGCTAACGAAGCCCAGGTCCCGGGGTCGAGCCCTGTGCACGCTGGTCGGCTGGGTTCCCCCAGCTGAGGTGGCTGCAGAGGGGACCTGTGTCCGGCTCCCTGCAGGCCGCCCTGGTCACCTGGGTTCAGCGGATGCCGTGGGCACCAGTTTGTCCCCAGCCCTGCTGCTTCCCTGCTGAGACGCAGGAGCAAAGCCCTCACCAAGGGTTGCAGCAGGCTCCGCGTCCAGGGGACCGTGACAACGAGGCAGCCGGGCTGCGTTCGAGGAGGACCCAGCAGAGCTTGGGCCTCAGGTGAGCTGCCTGCAGGACACAGGTCAGAAGGCCACCCACCCCCCCGCAGCCTGTAAACACGGGGACGCCCGGCTGTGAGGACGAGGGGAGCTCGCTGCTCCCCGAGGTGCAAGGAGGGTGAAGTTCACGGATAGCCGGGAATTTCCCCCCAAATTTCAGACTCGACCACCTGCTTCGCCCACAGCCCGTCGGGTGTCGAGGGGCATCTCAAACGGGACGCTGGGGTCAAAAATCAGCTTCGAAGTCTTGTGACCTTCAATCTACCCAGTGGCTTTTCGACAAATGTCAGCGAGGCGGAGACTCGATGNGGGCGGACTCGATGGACGGACAGGGCTCACAGGCCCCTGTCTTCCCAAAATGTGTAAATCTCCCCGATCGAGGCCCCTCCTTCAGGACACAGGACACTATCCTCCCGCCGGTGAGTTCAAGCCCCNAGGCGGAGACTCGATGGACGGACAGGGCTCACAGGCCCCTGTCTTCCCAAAATGTGTAAATCTCCCCGATCGAGGCCCCTCCTTCAGGACACAGGACACTATCCTCCCGCCGGTGAGTTCAAGCCCCGGGACCCCCGCCCTCCTGGGCCCAATGAATTCATCATGACGACCTCACACTCTTCCCTACGGCCAATTACTCTATAGCAGGGGTGGGAGCCTTTTTTCTGCCAAGGCCATTTGGATATTTATGGCATCACTCTCGGGCCATGCAGAATTATCAACTTGAAAATGAGCTGTAGAAAAGCTCCTAGAGTTACTGAATTTTGAGTCCCGCCTGCGGCTGCCTCGACAGGACCAGACCCAGACCCAATGCTTCTGCAGACTGTACGTGGCCCGCGGGCCGGGCGTTCCCCACCTCTGCTCTGTACTGATGAGACCTTAGGTCAACCGCAGTTACGACGGGTTCTGTGCCTGCAGCTCCTCTGACGGCTCCGCTGTGACACTGTCTGTTCAGCAGACATAACAGAGTCTCGCTCCGAAGGTCTCCCCATGGGATCAAGTGGAACTTTGATTAAGAGACTAATCTGGTCGAGAGGTGAGTACAAACCAGAATCGTGCATGAAATACCAGGGAACAGTGTAGCAACTGGATTTCTTTGCCTCACAAGGCTGCTCATCTACCCAGTTACCGGAGGCACGAGCTAGAGCGCCCGGGACTCCCACGCCGGGCCCCGGGGACACGGACACGGAGCCCACACGGGACCCGGCTCCAGCATTTTGAATGTGTCCAGTGCCCACGGCGCCTCCATCTCATTTGCACCGTCGGGCCCACCTGGGCCTGTTCTCCGGCAGGAAAACGACTCCGCGTGACGACGGGTCCGCTGTGAGTCAGCCCGGGTCAGAGCCTGGGAGGAAAGAGACCACTAATTGGCCCGAAACGACAGAATGAAAAGTGGCGGCTGCCCCGGAGGCCACACTGGCTGCAGTAATGAGGAGCTGGGGCTGGGGGACGGTGTCCCCCACATCCCCCGGCACCGGGGAGAGGCGCGAGCACACCGGGAGAGGGCACGGCTCAGGGGGCAGGGAGGGTGGGCAGGTTTTGGCCTCGGGCTTAATGTCCCAGTCAAGAGCAAGCCCGTCAAGGTCACCACCTGCAAAGCGGGTCTTACGGCAATGGCTGCCTGTTCTCCCTGCTGTCCGCTGATTCACCCCCATGAGGGGCGCTAGGGAGACACCTCAGTGCTGGAGGACAGGGGTCAGTGTTCCTGATGAGGGGACAGCAGGGCAAAGGCCCCGAGCTGATGAGTGTGCACACACGTCCTGCGCACACGCACGCACACACATGCACACACATGCACACGCCTACTCTAATGCAAACACCTTCTCTCCTGGCTGCATCAGCCAGCAACGCATCCCGGGCTGGGCGGCGAAAACCACCACAAGCCCTCCAGCAGCTGGCCCCGGGCCCGAGCAAAGTCCAGAAAAAGAACTGCCCGGCCAGGCCCAGCCGACACCGCAGATGCAGATAATTACACGCTAAGTAAACGGTGGTTATCTCGGGGGACTGCATTTTCCACTAATTTGCTTCAGACCAACAACTGATACATACTCTCGATAACTTGTTTCTTTCGCACGTCTGTGTCCTGGCCGGGTGTTCAGGACAAGGTCAGGGGAGGTCAGAGCCGCGATCTAAGGCACTGCCTGTCTTCTTTGCTAACTTTGATTTTCTATCAAATACAATGTTTCCTTTAGAGTTCTGAAGGCTACTGTCTATCACCATCGGAAAGCTCCTTCCCATTTCTGCTTGGCTAAGACTGTGCACAAACGGAGATTTAAAATAGGAACCGCTCTCATTCTAGGAGCCCGGGCAGCCCTTTCTGGGCAAATGAGAGCTTCCTCCCGCGACCAGCGTGGGAACCTGTTGCTTCCTCCGGCGACCACCGTGGGAACGCGCTAAACAGCCCGAGACGCAGAGAATATTCAGACGATAATACAGGTCGGCGCACTGGCCAGTGGTGAACACACAGGGGGTGAGTCATGTTCAGCAGAAGTTCCAAGGAGACCGTGAGCTTGGCTTTAAAAAAAAAAAAAAAAATTGGGCAACAAGCATTTCCGTGAGAGCAGAGCAAGTGACAAAGACACAGCGTGAGGACAGAAAGCATGTTTGGCGAGGGCGTCAGAGCCCCTCCGCGTGTGCGCCTCACCGGTTCCCCCTCCGGGACCCGTGGGAGGGCTACGCTTCCCAGCCCCCCGGGACGCCACGTCCCCGTGTCCTAACCAGTGAACGGTGGGGACAGGTCACGAGGGCCCCTTCCAGGCTTGGCTCTGAAAGCATCCTCTGAGAGCTCCTAAGGTTTCCATGGCAACCTCAAAGATGGCACGGCCACAGGCACAGCGTCCAGATGGCACAGGGACGGGGCAGACGCAGCCGGCGCCCCCGACCACGGCCCGGGCTTGGACGCGGCTCAGAAACTCCGTCCAGGCCTCGCTGGGCTGCACGGCGCTGCGGAGAGCTGAGGCTGTTACAGCAGCGGCCGTTAGGGATCCTAATTGATACAAAGGGCTGCCCTGGGCCCTAAGGATCCAGCAGCTGCAATCGCGCCAGACGCGCCCAGCAGTCCCAGCTCCAGCCTCCCACGGAAGGGTTGCGGGTTCGATTCCCGGTCAAGGGCACAGACCTGGGTTCCAGGCTTGACCCCGGGGCCTAGTGGGGGCTCGAGCAGGAGGCAACCAGTCGATGTGTCTCTCTCCTCCCACCCCGTCCCTTCCACTCTCTAGAAATCAATGGAAAAAAATATCCTCGGGCGAAGATTAGCAAAAAAGAAACAAACAAACAAAAAGTTTATTTGTCGTGTTGCGTGTCCAGCAGGGATCAGCCTGGTGCTTCCTCCCGGGAGGCAAAACAGTGCCCACAGGCCACCGTCGGCGGTCACCCCAGGACTATGGACAGCCAGCCCGAAAAGCCCAACACACTGACCACCTGGCCTCTGGAGAAAAGGTGTCGCGATCCCTGGGCCACGGCCTGTGGGCACTCCAGGACCAGCCACCCGGAGGGGAGTTTCGGAAAGTTCCACGGGAGCAAGTAAACGCTCCGACCTGACGTTACATGCAAACCACACGCGACGGGACGTGGCTCCACCCAGCCAGGAAGGGGCTGGAGGTTCACGTGTGGACATGATCTGGTCCAACAGCCTTTTTAGGAAACTCAGAAAATGGGAAGAAATAAGGACATGCCTCCAGAAGAAAAAAAATCGCACGCATACACTTCCTCTCTGCGATTCGCACGTTTTCCTATTCGAACCCACAGGCACCGACACATCCTTGGGCGTGTCTCTCAACCCCTTTAGGAAAGTCCTCTGCGCCTTCCTGGGCCGGGAAGCATTTCAGATCTGATTTATTTTAGTGATTTAAGTACAAGCTGTGATTTCCACAAACGTCCCCCGGCGACAGGCTCCCCCCGTCAGCCTCGGCGCTTGGCCCCAGTTCCCAAGACGGCGTTTCCCACCTGTGGTCTCTGCGTCCCCCCTTTCTTCCCTCCCCTCCCGGCCGTGGGGTCCGGTCTCATTCTCTCTCCTTCCACCCCCTCGGTTTCCCCGGACCCCCGGCCCCGCTCCTGAGATGTGCGGGCTCTCCAGCCCCCGGCCCGTCAGGAAGCACTCAGCTCCGGGGCGCAGACCCGCCCGTTGCTCCCCGTTAAACTCCCACTCGCTCCCTGTCACCCACGGAGCCCTTCCGTCCAGGCGGCTGCAGGGCCTTGGGCGGGGCGGTTACTTTCAGTTTCTAATGCGTCTGTGGGGCCCAGACTCAGTTTAATTCCTCGCCGCAAGGGGGTTGGGGGCAGGGCCACACGGAGCACGTAAAGTTTCCCTTCGCGGCCCAGGGACAGTTCCCATCTCTGTCGTGATCGAAAACAAGCATCGAAGGAGACGCCGAAAAGAGAGTCGGCAGAGGGAGCAGGAACGGCCTCGAACCCGAGCTGAGCAGCTGAGCAAGATCGCCCAGAATGCAGTGGGGTCCGCCTCCTTAAAACTCTATTTATAAATGTTTTCCTGGGAGATAAATAAGCAGATTTCTGCAGGACCGAAATGTTTTCTCTCTCATGGTAAGCAAGGTGCTTGCAGTCGCCGTTCTGTCCCGGCAAACGCCCGTGGGGGAGGCCTGAAACTGCTGGAGGGGCCAGGCCGGAGCCCCCGCTGCCCCCTTCCCGTCAAGAGGGCTGCTGGGAATGACCAGGGACATCACACACACTCACGCACACGCACGCATTCATACACGCTTATGCACACGTGCACACGTGCACGAACATGCATGATCACATGTGTTCACGTGTGTGCATGTGCACCCACACGAGCACGCACACACAGGCCTGGTTCATGCAGGAGTCCCCGTCTGCCGCCTCCCTGCTCACGGCTGCCACGACGGCCTCCGGGTGGGACACAGCCCAGGGCGAATCCCACGTGGGCACCGCCATCGCGCCCCTTGTTTCATTTCAGGTGCCGGTCCCGGTCAGGCTGCAGTGCCTCCTAACAGCACCGCCGCCATAATTACCCCTTGGCTGCGTGGTCTGGAAACGGAAACCTGGCGTCCTGGCATGGCCCGCGGGCAGAGGCGGGTCACAGCCAGGCCCCGGGCCTGTGCTCCAACGAGCCCTCCTTGAAAGCTGCATTCAGCACCCCGGAGCCATGTGCGCCAGCCCCACAATAGTCAATGCAGCCAGGACAAGGGGAGTCTTCTGTCGGGCCTGGCCCCAGGCCTGGGCCAGGGGATTAGGACAAGCTGCCCAAACAGTAATTAACAAGACAGAGGCGACCCGGAGGGCAGCGTGATTGGCCGTGGCACCGAGACAGGCGGAGTTGGCTGCGTCCTCGGGGCCGGGGGACGGTCACCTGCCCCCATAGACTGGCAGAGTTTAAGGAGCTAATGTGCACTTGGCATCTCCAAGAGGAGAACATGAATAGAGGACTCGAAATGAGGTATTTTCCAGGCGTATTCAGCCACCCAGCCTTCATGCTGCTTCAGGGAAAGTCTCTAAACAGACCAGTCCCCTGCGTGTGACCTTTGGGAAACAACCAGACTAGAGAAGCTTTTCAATAACGTTTCCTCACCCCTGGTTTTCTACGTACAATTCACTCTCAGGCCAAAGGTCTCCGGCAACAGCCATGTGAACCTGATAAAAGATTAAATTTCATCATGATAGTATTATAACAATGGGAGAGCTGGAGGGGGGGGCACTTAGAGATGGCAAATGAACGCCCTCATTTCGAGGCTGAGAAAATTGCAGCCCAGGGGGATAAGTATCTGTACGTGGACAGACGCAGAGAAAGCCGGGGCCTCCAGGGCCCCCACCGTTGTCCCCGGATGCTGGGCCTGGGTTTCTGCTGTCATTTCACACCGAGGCTCCTTCCTATCATCATTG